GCCGTCTGCACATGCTCCCACGGCGGGGACGGAAGGGCTGCATATGGTGTTCAGCTTTAACAGCTGAGCTTTAAAAAAAAAATAAAAAAGTGCAGCTTTTCATGTGCATGAAACAGCTCCCAAAGTTGGCGGTGGGGGGTGGGGGGCAGGAGTCAGGGTGATGGAGGAAAAGAAAAAAGCTGACAGGCGTAGGAGTAAGCCCCCAGTATGAAATTTTATTTTTCAAGAAATTTTAGACCACCTCCTGCTCAAAGGTCCCTTTGGAAAATGACAAGCTGCTTCCTGCCTGTGGTCCCTGAGTTTACTCAGTTCAAGTTGCGAAAAGCATCTAACAATGACTTTTTTAAATGAAAATGGAAGTGTCTTATCTATCTATGAGGGAGTTGCACCCATGCACTTGGTTGGGCTCAACATTCTTAAGGAGTTTGTAAATGAAATGATTGTTTCCCAAAGTTGTGTTCTATAAGAGGGCAGGAGCCACCATGCCTTGGGGGTGTTCTCCCAACCTTGAACTCTCCTGGGATGGAAGATGGAGACCAAGGGACAGGGTGCAGAGTCTGGTACTACGGGTTCCCGGAATAGCCTGAAAACTTTTGCTTTCTCTTCCCTCTGCTGATAATGACTGTCTTCGGCTCTGCAGCCAGCTCCCCTCTCCCCCTCCCAGCCCCCTGTTGCTGCAGCCATCCCCGAGCTCCAGTATAAAGTTTGGCTTTTGCAGCAGGAAGCAGCTGGGCCAAGCAACCAGCGAATGATAATGACCTCAGAAATCTGCTGTTCGCTCGGCAACAATAGGGTGCTCAGTCTACTGGAAAATTGTGTTCATCAGCTAACTCTGCTCAGTTACTAATTGACATTGCCAAATATTTTAAGAACAATTGGAATGCACAAGCAAAAAAAAAGAAAAAAAGAAAAAAGAAAAAGAAAAAGAAAAAAGAAAAGGAAAAGGAAAAAAAGAAAGGAAAAAAGATCTTAATCCTCAGACTTCAATGTTTTTCTTTTCTTTTTTGTTTTTTAAATTATCTTTTGAGGGCTTGGATTTGTTTGTATGGAACAGGCAGTGGTTATCATGAATGTGGGTGGGGAGAGTGAATCACCAGAGGAAAAAAAGGTGGGAAAGGAAGAAAATCCATCATCTCACTATCACCAATGTATTGCAGGGGGGTCTGGATAAGGGCCTCTGATGCAGTGGTCAATGGGCCTACGGGATGGAGACGCAGCATCTCAGGAATGCATTCTAGCAACAAAAGCAGACTGACCCCCAAGGCTTTTAGCCCAGCTGACCAAATAATCCTTGTCCAACTCAAAATATTACAGCAGAAGAAGTAGGGGTTAACGATATTTCCATCTTTGTATTTCTCTCTCCCTGGCTTCCATTGATCATGCAACTTTGCTGACTTTATTTAATGAACGGAGGGTCAATGCATTCAATTACCCCCTTCCCACCATCAACACTTCAATTATCCCCACTCCAAAATGATGGGGAATTCGGAAGGTAACTGCCCTGTTGGATATAATGAACAGTATCGTTTCTTAGTACATTAAGTTTTAATTATACTAAGCATGATTTCCAAAGCAAAATCTGAAGAAACAGAACTTCGGTTGTTTTCTGACTCAGAGCAAAAGCAGAGGATACATCGGTCGTTTGAGGGGAGGTTTTAGGGAAAGATGCAGAGATTAATGTCATCAGAGCCTTTGCATGAAAGCCAGAAAACGAGGAGGCATCAGAACAGCCGCCCTGCATTCTAAATGTCATAAAAGAGTAAAATTTATAAGCTGATGCTCTCCAAATAGTTTCGCTTTGCAGTGCACACGGAAGCAAACGACATGCTGTATGGTGTGAAATTACAAATGAGTCAAAAATAAACAAACAAACAACAACAAAGGGAGATGGGGAGGTGATCTGTGTGGCAAGTTCTGTCGCTTTTCTGTTAGAAAATACGACCTCTCCATCTGTCAAAGGTCCTAGTTTTCGCGGTTGATCTTAAGCTTGGTTCTCAGCAGTTTGGAGAGGCAAAAGAACAAACACATTTTCTGGTTCACTGGAATCATTTTCACATGTTCACTGATTCAAACATTCTTTTGCTCACATAACAAACAGCTGCATCCCACATTAGCCTAGCCAGTGACAGTCGCCCATCTCGGCAATAACTGTTTGATTGCAAACTTGACCCCTTCTTCGTCTCGGTCTGAGCAAGACATTTTTAAACAGCCACTCCGTTCCCAATCCTCCTTTGCAAAGAATTACATCAGATAACAAAGGGCGTCTCTGCCACTCATTGTAAGCCTTCTTCTAGAGATCTATTCTAAGAGGCTCTGCTAAAAAGGTTTTTTATGATGAATTCAAAACTACTATCATGTTAAGAGCAGCGATTTATAAAGAAGAATTCATTGGTTAAGATCTGAAAAAATAGTTTCTCAGGCCCTACTGACCCAGTTTTCAACAAAAAAAAGAATCAAGCCATGCAAATGAAGTTTTGTGACATTGTTATGCAGTCTGAGAAATTTGTAAGACCGTGTTTTGCAGTTATTTCTTAATAGAAGCCATAATAAGTACTTTTTTTCTTTACTGAAGGGCTTAAATTTTTTCCCTCCCCTTCACCTTGCAGGTTTCTAACAGGTAACAATAAAAATACCTATTGTGTCAAGAGTTTTATTTAAATGCATCTTTGAATCACACTTTATACAAGTCACACTTGTTAGAAAGAAGAGGGGGAAATGAACCAGATTTGATTGAGAATCCTAAATCCTAGCAAAACCTGAATGCCCTCAGACACGCAGCTGATTTGGGCTGCAGAGTGGGTATACCATCCGTTTCCCTACTTAGTCAGAAAATTATGAAAGGGTCTGATTTGAATATGAAGAAAACAAAGAAGTCAAACCCCAAATGAAAGAATCAGTATTCACAATTGTAAAATCCTTCAACGGGGAAAATAAAGTGGAGAGCTAATGCCAACTTCTCTGAAGCAATAAATAAATAAATAAGTCTGGATTTTGGTGTGCGTTTTTTTGTTCCAGCAGAGTACTTAGAGATGGGAAAGCAGCAAGCAGCTGGCTATCACTTGGCCAGAAGGTGATGAAAACATGGTAAACATGTCATTAATAGAGCCGAACATTTGGTATTGAAATATTATGCTAAGACCCTCTTGTTTGAGCGGGTCTGGGACAGGGAATGAAATCTGTCAGTGTGAAAACCACGTCACTCCAAAAACTAAAGGAATCCAGTCTGCTTCCCCATCTCTGCCCCTGGTCGTCCCCCAACCTCAGAAGAGCGAAGAACACATTTTCTGAAGAGACCCCTTTCCAAGAGGTTGGAAAGAGTCCCTGGAGACAGCTGAGGGATGCCCGGAGCTCATCACCCGGCATGTGGGAACCCATCCTGACAGAGCTCCCACTGGCAGGAAGGACAACTTCCCAACTTCTCTGGAGCACAAGGCCCCTCCACGCAGTGTGACCTCATCCTCCTGTAGTCCCCACATCCTTGTTAGACTCTCCCGAAGCATCTTGTCAGTAATAAATCGCCAGCAAGTCCAGGACTCCACGAGCAGACAGTGTGTTTCATGGGTATTTAAGCAGCAGCATTAAGTGCTATCGGAATCTCTGGAATGTGTAGTTCAGATTTATGTGTATTAACAATTCTTTACTGGCTTGTAATAAGCTCACACACACACACACACACACACACACACACACACACACACACACACACACACTTTATTCTACTATGAGTTTTGTTCTAGAAGAAAGGGAAGCTGAAGAGAGAGAATTATAACAAAGTGTACAGGCATCTAGTTAGTAACTACAGCAGTGAATCGCCTCTACGATGGAAATAACAGCCAACAGAGAAGACACACACACACACACACACACACACACACGCACACGCACACGCACACGCGCACACACACACAAATAGAGAGAAGAAAAAAACTTTTAAAAAATGACCCTTAGCAGCACACTGCCACATCTTTAACAGTGGGCAATGCAATGCCTCGAGGTGTCTCAAACTGTCTTTCATTTTCTAGACTTAATGGCTGATTGCAGAAATCAATGTTGCCATTAGTAACAGGGTATTTGTTATGGCATGATTTCCTCTGTTGTTAGGCAGTAGAATGATTACAGTATTAGCGAGGTGCTTTCTTTATAAAGGGCTGGAGATATAACTTTCAATTTACTATCCATTAGTAAGGGACTTTGGAAATGTGGATGAAGGCAACCTCTTACCTGCTGTTAGGTAGCGATTTTAATTTAGCCATCTTAGACTAGTATATTTATTCTTTTTTCTTTTTTTCTTTTCTTTTCCCCACTCAAATAGGGCCAGGATGCTTCAGCATTTCATAGACATTTTTGGTGACAGATTTTTCTGCTTTGCTAAAATAGAACTGTATCGCCCATGCAACACAGTACAGCTGATGACACACAGCCACGCATCTGTGTTTTCAAAACTCTGTGCTTGACTAAAACCACCAGAGGAAAGTGCTGTGGCTCTGGGAGCAGGTGAGCCAGACTGCAATTTCAGAAGGGCACAAGAGGTAGGTAGGTTTGGCCTGGGGAGGGAGGCTGGGAGAGAACTCCCAAATGAAAGGCTTGTGTGGGTACAGTTAAGGGGAGGCAATGGAGACCCTCCACATTCACATCCATATCTGGAGCCAAGCCTGAGTTCCTAGGTTCCAGAGACAAAGCTAAGAAACAGGTCCACAAGAGGAACTAAATAGCTGTAGGGAAGGGCAAAGCGTGCCCCATCAAAAAGCATGCCACCATCTCTACCACTGCAAAGGAGGCTCAGCTGACTTTTGCTAGTAGCCACGGTTCAAGGTTGAAAGAACACTCCCGACTTTGGAGCAGGGAATCCTGAAGGAAACAGACACACAGCCCAGCATCCAGCCTGCCACCTTTTGTGGTCCAGCCACACTCAGAACCATCTTAAGGCCCGAGGCTGATGTGCAGGACCAAGCAGGTCCTGGCAGGGGGCAGGGCCCATCCCTTTCTTCCTGTCAACCTACCTGAGGAAGAGGGTGAAGAGGGGTGTGGACTGTCCTCCTGGGCGCTCCCGGTCTGCGACAGGCCACCTCCAGCCCCACTCTCCTCAGTCACATTAGAGGAGCCGGGTGTGGTGGAGCGGCTCACCGACTGGGACTCTTGGTCGCTGCCTGAGCCACGCCGCTCCTCCAGGCCCACGCCCACGTGCAGAACATCCTCATCATTCTTGCGGTCCCGCTTGTGAACACGAGAATGCACGACCACCTGGTGGTAGGTGCGGAACACCCGTCCGCAGTCCGGGCACTCAGTGGGCTTCTCCTTCAAGTTCCCAGGACCCTGCAGGTTGTATTCGAGCGTCTGGTTGAGCCCATGTGACAAAAATTCCCGACTGCCTTCTAGAGGGTCGAGCTTATTTGGCAGGTCTCTCTGATTGCCCACTTTAGTGCTGTGAACCAAATCAGCAGGCATTTTCTGCTTGGAGCCATCTGCTCCCACTAACACGTACTCCCGCTTCTCCTTATCAAACAGAACTCCAGCGTTTGCCAAAGTGTCTTCGTGGTTGCGCGTGAGCTGATGCTCTTTAGATAAGAAGCCATGTTCCATGGCCATGCCCCTGGCCATGAGCTGCCAGGCCTGATAGCTGTTCACTGGGTCCATTTCTGCAGCTTTGGCAGCTGCCTGCAACCGTTCGATACAGCTGGATTTTAGTGGTGGCACAAGGTTGAGGCAGCCCAGGAGGGAGTGCTTGTCTCCCTCCGGGACACTGTGAGCCATACTGGAAATGGGGGACAGTAGCTTTCCCAGAACCTCTTTCTCCTTGGCAGGGAGCTCCCCTTTGCCATAGAGCTGGGTGGGCTCGCTCAGGCTGGCTTTGTCCTGGGCCATAAAGCCACTCTGCAGGCAGGAAAGGTACCTTGAGTACAGGTTGGCATGGGCCTCCTGGGACAGGCCACCCATGGGCACTGACACCTCAGGCTCGGTGGGGGACTTGTTCTTCACCGACAGTTTGTTGAGGTGGACCTTCATGTGATTCTTCAGGAACCAAGGTTCTTTGAAGCGCCGACCACAGATCTGGCAGCAGTGCTCAAAGGAGTCTTTGTGCTTGCGCATGTGGCCCTTCAGGAACCAGGCCTGGCTGAACACCTGGCCGCATACCTCACAGCGGAACTCGTTGGCCGACTGCTCTCCGCTGCCATTGGGACCCTGGCCCTGGGCCGACTCTGCAGTGATGTGTGCCTTCTCCACGTGGCTGATGAGCTCCTCTTCCTGTGAGGCCGCAAAGTCACACAATGTGCACTTGTACGGCTTATGCAAAATACGGATGTGGCGGTCCAGCTCCTCGCGCTTCTTAAACTTGCCTTTGCAAAAGGTGCATCTGAAGCCAGCAGCCGGGGTCACCGAATCCTCCTGCAGACTGGCCGGCTTGGGAGAAGGTGCCGGGTGGGCTACATCGGGCACACTGTGGTTGGGGGGCAAGGCTAAATTGCAGGTGGCCAATGGAGCCTGTTGGGCATGTGCCAAGGGCTTGAGATCAGACCTTGGTTGCATCAGACTGCCCTTCATCTGCTTGTCCCGCAGAATGGCCCTCTCCTCTAACTCATGCAGCAGTCGGTTCTCCTCACGCACCCGCCCGCGCCCTTTCCCCAGGTTGCCCAGCTTGTGGGTCCTGAGGTGAATCTTGAGATTTCCTTTTTGGGCTGCACGGTGGTCGCAGTAGGGGCACTTGAATGGCTTCTCACCAGTGTGAGTGCGCATGTGCAGGGAGAGGATGCTGTTGAACCGGAAACGCTTGCCACACAGAGGACATGGATACTTCCGGTTCTTTCTGGCATCATCCTCAATGTCACTCATCTGAGACATGATGCCTAAGTTCTGCCCATTGAGGAACTGCTGCAGGTCCACACGCCCATTGAGGCTGTTGTCCACATCACGGCCCAGCTGATTGGCCAGCAATGCCATTTGGCTGCCCATGGGCTGTCCGCTCATGGGTACGTGGGCCTTTTCCTCAAGGGCTGCAGGTGGCTTCTCCTCTGGGTTGGGCCGCGGATGAAGCTCAGGAAAGGCATGGCTGAGCTGGGAAGTGATCTGGTGCAACTTCTGGCTCATGGCATACTGGCCATTGAGGACTGGGCCACTCAAGTGAGGCTCAGCTTCCGGGGCCGTTGAGGACACTCCAAGGCACAGACTCGCTTCTTCCATACCTAGAAATAAACACAAGAGTTCAGATCTGTGCCAGGTAAGAAGCAATAGCATCAGTTGGGCATGGGTGGGGGTGGGAGAGGACGTTTGCATCTCAAGACTTACCTACCCATAATAATGCTAAGGAATTAGAGTAAAAAACAATAATAAAAAGATGAATTATTAAATGCCAATTATGCAATATGGCAGTGTCCTCCAATTTGTTTTGGGAATGGATCGTCTTCCTTGTATTCTCTATTTACAGACTGCAATTATTCATTCACATTTCAATTATTAATATTTTACCATTTTCAACACCTAATAACATATCAAGGCTCTGCGTGTTCAACGGATCCTCCTTTCCTTTCACAAAATGCCCCTACCTGTTGGCTCAGTCCAGAGTTTGCCTTAGAGCAGAGTGGCTTTCATCAAAAGACCAACAGGACACTTTCTTTTCTGTTTACTATATTCAGTACACTCACCAGTCTCAAGACGAAAGAGATCATTTTATGATTTGGCCAAAGGAAAAAAAAAATAGCACCAATAGCATGATATTTACTGGTACATAATAAAACAAGATAATGTTTTGGGAAAAAATAAAGTAAAGGACAGGCTTTAGAACAATAAAAGAGATTTTGCTTTAGTCAACAAAAAGTGCAGTAATATCTCATTAAGCTGATTAGTATGCTGCTTAGAAACAGTACTAGGTGCTGTAACACATGATTATAATCATAAAAATCCTTCAGTGTTTGCAAGGAAGCATTAACGAGGTATATTAAATTTTAAGGAGACTGCTAGTAGCAGCTTTGCAAACCTCAGAGATTAAGATTTAACCCTTATTTTACGAAGCGCTGACTTTTGTCATCTGCTAACCATGTCCATCCTATACATGATCTCCTGATGGAATCTTGGTGGACTTGGGAGGCTGTTGGTGTTTGGATGGAGGTAGACTTGTGCCATATGACACTTCCTCCCTGTCCTTTGGCTTGCAAGACAGCTGAGCCAGGGTCTTTGATTGGCCTTAAAGAGATCTTTTGCAGAACTAGATAAAAACCAATTAAAATCCAGGGACGATGCCATAGGAAGTCTCAACCAAGTTTGAGTGTTTTTAATAACTTTCCCAATATACAGTAATGAGTACAAATTGTACCTGCAGTATGTGTTTTGCAGAAAATTAGAACTCAAAGCTGTTTGTTAAACACAAACACTCGAAGCTAGTCTGTGTAATTGTCTTTAATAGTCTCCTCTGCCCCCTCCACAGCCAGTGCAGAACAGCAAATGCCAGACTGTTCCAGGTGGATCAGAGGGCAGGCTCTCTTCCATATCAGAGCATGGAGGGTGCTTAGCTTGGAAAGCAAAGAGCTCATGCCCGGACTCCCTCTGTTTCCAGATATGCCTTCTCCATGAAGGAGTCCAGATTCACTTCCTGCTTTTAGATAGGTTTCTGCAGATCTCCTCTTTGTATCCCAGTCTTTCAATGTGTTGGCCAGCTAGATGGTCCAGGGACCCTGTGTTTAACCCCAGCTAAAACTATGGGGCCAAGAAACTTCCCCTGGGGCACTTGTGAGGCCAGAGCTCAACTGTGGGGCAAGTACATTCTGCCCCAGCAGAGTCTGCTGTTTTCTGTGTTGCCTACCAGGTAGACTAGATAGTGTATGGGATGGTGGTCTCTGGTGGGAGACTGACTGCCTTGGCAAGAGTAAAGACATGGTGTTTAGTTCCAGGAGGGAGAGGGACTTCAGTCCAGTGTAGCCCTTGAATGATGGCATGGTCAACTCTGCCCATGCTCACACTCATTCACAGAGACACATACATTCACTTGCAGTAAAAGCAGCTTCCAATTTGCCATCTTCAATTTTGAAGACTGGTCAGGAGCTAGGTTGTCATAAAGATTCTAGAATTCATTCAACAAACCAATGAATTCTCACTATGCACCAGTTTCTATCGTTGAAGATATACTGATGGGTATGACTGTCAGACTCCAGGAATCATGGAATCCACTGGCAATCAGGGAAGGGCACTCCCATAGTGTAGCAACTGTAGGCATGAGTAGCCTCCAGGGCCTCATCTGGAGCCCTTCAGCACCCTCCAGTCCTATCAAGCCATGCTGGGTCCTGTCTTGAGCAATATGGATCATGTCCCTGGAGGTACATGACAGCACACAGAATTCCACCCTACAGCTCTTAGGAAGTTTGGAGGCCAACATGATTGTCCTACTTCCGAGGGCTGCCCAGTTGGCCAGCTCAGGAGATGTGAATCCAGGAAAATGTGCTATTTCAGGTCTCTAAGGCCAGGTGCCAGTTCAGCAGAGATAAGGGAGGAGGTTGGGAGTGTAAGCAACAACGTTACTATCAGGTTGGACAAGGGGTGTCAAGTTGAAGTCCATGGATGCCTTCACCTGCCAGCAACTCAACATGGGAATCTTCAAGATCAGCTTGATTATAGAATTCTTCTATTCTGCCCCAAAGGAAAGATTAGTTGTTGTTGTTGTTTGTTTAAATCAACATCATTTTTTTCTGATACCAGTGTTAATGTTTTAGTGGAGGGGGAAATATAACATTCTAGAATGTGCTATCCCAGTTCTTCAGAGTTGACTTCTTGATGTAGGTCTGAACTTTCAGGACCTTTTGCACCCACTTTGATAGAGGTTGGTCCTCAGCTCTGTTCTATTTCATCTTCTAACTCCTTTAATTGGAGTCCTCCTGAATAGGCAGCGTGTCACCACTTCTCTGAAGGCAGATGCCATGAGATGAACCCTAAGGCTCAGTTGGCTCATCTTGGATTCTGTGTCCCCCAATAATGGACAAGCATGAACAGACCCTAGAATCACTGCTTATAGGAGCAGCTAGGCCCCAAAGGCGATTCACCTTCACTTCAACCTCAGCTTTTTACAAGTTCAAGAACATTTATAGTTCAGAGGCTGAAGGTCTAAAAGCACCAGAGAGGGTTACATCATCACTGTGTCCCTCCATCCAGGTGCCCATGGGGGACATATAGTCTTTAGCCACCTTTGCTGGCCCTACTCTGGGCACTAAGGGACAGATAGTGACTACTCCCTTCAGGATCTAACCACCATAGAGCCCATACATTCGGAAGGACCAGCCATGATCCAGAAGATTCTCCAGGTCCCTGAGATGAGCCTACATGAAAGCTGGACAGTGAGTGCCACTGCACTGCTGCTGTCTGTCAGATATGTCTCCGACTCCTCACTCTCCATGAGCAGGTGGGCTCAGGCTGCTGCTGCCTGTTATTCCAAACCACTGCCTGCTACTCCACTCGAAGCAAGAAAGGGAAATGTGAGTTCTTGGAAAGAATGTGAGGTAATTGATGTTCTGTCCCTGGGCCAAAGCAGCCGAGGCAGGACAAGCTGGCCTTGGGCCCAGCCTGGAACTCACAAAACCTCAGCCAGCCCCAACTTCTCCACACTTAGCAATCCACAATTCATTTAGGCCTCACCTCAGCCATTCAGCAAGTATTGGTCATAAACCTTCTAATGTACCTGCCTTGTGGGCCATGGGCCATCACAGGAAAGGGATGAGAAAGTATCTACAAGAACTATGTTCAAGGTTAGAGAGATATGCCGTGTGTGTGTGTGTGTGTGTGTGTGTGTGTGTGTGTGTGTGTGTGTGTATGTGTGTGTGTGTATGTGTGTGTGTGTTGTGTGTGTATGTACACTCACATGCAGTCATGTACAAGCATACAAGCACAGACATCAAAAATGACTGTTAAGAGTGAGGCAGGGATTCCTCAATGGTGGCACTCCAGCAACTCACACAAATACATACCGTGGGAAACAAAGGGTCATTTATCCTACTATTAAAGGATTGGATCCAGCTGCTGCTGTAGGTGCTCATAGGACTGGAGGAGGTGGACTGCCTGCGAGAGCTCCACTGTTCTTACAGGGAGTGTTATTACTCCTTTCCCTAGCCTTCCAGGGAACAAATGCATAGAGAATGCCTTCCTGTGGGGATCACACTGCTTCCTCATAGGCCACACAGCAAGTGTCTGACTGTGACCTGACCCCCACCCTATGGCTAGCTCCTGATAAGCAGAGTACTCATGCATATCCATATACAATTCTGGACTTCAACAGCCAGTCTCCAAGGAACATTTTAGCCCATGTGCTTACTCTATCATCTGCTAGCAGCCCGGCTAGGAACTCAGCATCCATGCTGCAGGAACTGGGGGCCCACATCAAGAAGTCATGGGCTAACAGAGTATATGCCATGACCCAGGCCTTCAGGTACTAACCTGAAGTCTGAACCTCTGAGTACTATAACCAATACTTTCATGTGGTTAGAAAACTCAAAGTATGATCAAAGCATGTAAACCAGTGAAAGCTATAGCTCAGAGGTAGATTCCCTGCCTCCCTCCATAAGGCCCTCAATCCCTAATACCACAAACACACAAACAAAATAACTGCTCCACGATGAAAATGGCTTGCTCTTGACCTACAGTTTGTGGTCCCATCATGTGAATCATTAAGCATTGGTTGATGGGTGGAAGGAATCAGTGAATACATAATTACTTAAATCTAGCAAAGGCAGGCAACTGTTCTCACTGGAGGTGGCAGTTAGAAGTTGCAGAGACTATCATAGCATTCCACCTGGTCCTGACCTGCCCTGAGTCACAGTGAACACTGCTGGCATTCAACGTCATGGTTGATGCTGATGAAGAATCAGCTTGGCATGTGAGTTTCAGCCACCCAACATTTCCCACCATGGTGTTGGAAGTTCTGGGTTCCACCTATGAAGACAAATGGGTCTAGCAGAGGCTTTTGAAGGCATATGTTTTCTCCCTGAGTTCTGCAATGCCACTATTCATGAGGAAGGGAATGTCAGCTCTTGTGACACCTGCCATTGGATATAGACTATCAAAATGCCTTCCCATTAGCCCATCACCACAGGTACCTGGAGCCATTCAGCTGCTTTTGATAGAGCTAATGGTTATTTTCGCTTTTGCATTACTCCTTTCAAAACTCTTTCCTGTGATATCAATGACAAAAGCAATCACTTAACTCTTC